TGTCTGCTCTCCAGATCGTAGATCTCCCCCTCAGGGCAGCAGAAGCGAACACAGGGCTTCAGTTTGCATACACAGCCGCGCAGGTGCTTGGGCGCCGGCACTCGGATGCCATTCTCGATGACAAAGTCGTAGGCGGCCACCAGGTTGCGGGGAATCACCGTCCAGTTGTGGACATACGAACCATCCATGCCGAAGCTGCCCGTGATGTTGGCAGTGTCTATGAAGGCGCAGGGATAGCGCATCTCCTCCGGGTAGCTCCAGGCAGCTCCCACCAGGAGGAGGAGCGACGACAACGGCGCCATCTGTGGAGACATTCTCCTCTCTGGCTGCTGATCTTTCGGGAACGTCTTTCTGGTGCTGGCCGCTTTCTTTGTTTTTGTTTACCCCACGGCTTTGAATTTATTCGTGTGTTTACCTCCGCAGCGTTTTGGTTTCCCAATCGATTTGATTCGAATAAACGAACCGCAAGCAGAATATTTGTCGAATATTTGTAGAATATAGAATATGGATAAATAATGCAGCAAAGCGATGACGTGTGTACCAGTGGTGGAGGGGGTGGTGTTGGTGGTGCTGCACAAACGGTTAATTGAGTGAACTGAACTGAACTGAACTGTACGGATCGATCTTTCATCTGCACCTGCCGCAGGCTGAACTTCGACTGAATATTTTGGAATGAATTCCACAGCGAATGAGTGCGCGGCATGGAATCGAACATCCAGACGATGAGGTGAGGTCGTTGCTTCTGGTGGGGGGGGACAAGGGGGATGAGGTGCCAGCCTGTGGCCCACACCCACTTTGAGGCGCTTTGTTTACAGCAGGAAAATGGGGGAAAAACGCAGACTAGAGAAAAGCGTAGAGACACGGAGAACATGTAAAGGCTAGGGGAATGCTCTGTAATTGGGTAAAAGAGATTGTTAGTGCCAATGGGAGTGGAATTTCTTTAAAGATAACTGAGAAAATAACTACAAAAAAAAAGGTTCTATGTGGGATAAATCTTCAGATGATCCACCTTTTGATTTTAACTTTACTTTACTAAAGAATTTTTCTATCTTCTACTTTGAACTATCCCTAAATAAATTCCCTTAATCAGATGCATTTCTTAAAATCTTCCAAGACCAGTAAATGCTCTAAAATTTCTAGCAGAGTCTCCACAGTTCGTCTTGTTTCAGAGACATTTAACCTGGCTAAGAGAGAGAGCACAACTTTTCGCTGAAAGTAGCAGGCCTTAGACTCAGTAGACATGGACATAGACGTAGATAATGCAACAGATACAGATACAAATAGAGAGACAGATACAGATACGGATAGATGGACAGAAGGATAGGGCCAGGGATAACGGTTCTCAATTGCGTCATTAATGTAACATTTGTTGCGTGCCACTTGGGTCTGGCGGCTAATCCAACCCTTCGAAACTGCCTCCCCCTGTCAGCGAGGCAGAAGTCAAAGCAGCCCCAGCCCCAGCCCCAGCTCTGTGTGAGTGGACAGCACGATTTGGGGTGTAGTTTACGATTTGTCCTTTTGTTTGTGGAGCTGCTAATACAATTTGTCCTCTTTTTTTTGGTTGGGTCTATAACGAAATTTGGCCACAGAAGAAGTTGTTTGACAAGGGAAATAGAAACTGATAGCAGCAGGCTCAGAGAAGGATGAGCCACTTTAGTACGGAAGGATTCTTAAGGTAGAACAATAGAAGATCACTCTCAAAATTCAAATTAAATTTGGCTTAGCCATAAATCGATTCAAATCTTCATCGAACAACCTCATAAAAGCCTCTTCCAAATGTTACACAATTTCGAGTTTATTCAACAAAAGTCTTAAGTCAATTAGTTCCTAGAAATGTACGGATATATGCACCGTAGATATAATCACACATTAGTGTGTGAGTTTGTGTGTGTGTGTGTGTGTGTGTGTGTGGTGTGGCACCAAAATGAATCATAAGCTAAGTGAATACCAGAGTTCATACGCAGATGAGCAATCATCATCATTCAATCTCTCTCAGTCTCTCTTCCGTCTATAATGATGTCACCGTTGGCTGATAGGGAGAATCTGCAAAGTTCAAGTTAAAGATTTGTAGATTGAAACGAGAACAGATAGGAATTTGTCTCTGCTCACCTGAAGATTTCAGATCTCCCTTTTCATTAAAGTTGTAGACGCGTGCATTAATCACACTCAAATCGGTTTGACTGGACTCCCTATGGAAAGAGAAAGATTTGACAGACATGGAAAATATTTCTTGGCTAGATCTTAGATCCGTAACTTACACATTAATGGCCCACCAGGATTTAACATGCAGATTCTTGCCCAGCAGCAGAATGAACCCAGCTATGGCCAGACCCAAGATGCAAATGCCACTCCAGAAGTCAATGATGAAGAAATGCTCCCTCACACGTGCCATTATATAGACCACAATCTCACGCAGCCAGACGGCAAAGACGCCCACCAAATAGGCACAAAATGCATAGAAACTGTAAGGAAAAATAGCAAGGGAAAAGGATGAGTTTCTAGTTGAAGTTTTTAGTTAATCTCACTGTTAGTCTCACTGAGTCTTGACGATGCGCAGCTGTGTGCCCAGGATATATTGTGTGTCTGCTGGCAGTTTGTAGATGGAAAAGTAGGCCTTCAGGCAGCAGACAACACTGAAGATCAGCAGTAGGACAATGGGTGCATAATAGTAGATGAGAATGCCCCAGAGGCGCACTGAAAGAAGAGCAGAGAGAATCACAAGTGTTACTTAATCAAGGAGGGTCAAACTTTTACTCACCATCGAACCAGCAATAGTCCTCGCCAATGCCCGGCTTATAGTGCTTGGGCAGGTTGGAGTCCTGGGCAAAGGAAACCAGAAATCGTAGGCCCACAACCAGCACCACAGCCAGGAAATAGGACAATCTGCGTAGCCAATTCTTGCAGGGCTTCAAGCGGAACTTTTGCAGGAAATCAAAGCTACAAATGGCCAGAAAGACAAATGACAGCATGATGCAGAAGTAGGCCAGTAAACCTGAGAGATAACACCAGGGATTAAGATCCAAAGAAAGTATTAAGATAAAGAAATGCTAACCAATATTTCTGCACGCCACATGGGAGAGTTTCATGGGATTCTTGAGGGCCAAGTAGACGAGCAGCGAGTAGCCCACAATCATGGAGAGCAGATAGTAGATGATCACCTGTCCGTAGTGACTCTTGCGGGCATCACGCACCGAACCGAGGAGGGCGAGGATGAATATATTGATCAATATGGCAATGATGCTGCCTAAAAGGAAAGGGAATTAGGTTGAGTAATAAAAGTTCTCTGGTATCCCCACTCACATATCGCATAGATCCACACTCGATAGCCGGTCTGAAAGCGCTCACAGCTCAGGGGCGTCAATTCCCATTCCTCGGCCTTGTGCTGCAGCGGACTGAAGCAATACTCGTCCGTGCTCCACAGTCGATTGTCCCGCAACAGCGATCCATTCTCGAAGAGATCCCACTGCCAGAAGCTCTCGTGCTTCTTGTCCACAAACTTGTTGCGGCAGCCCAGCTCCGTGCGCACCACAAATCGATCGTTTATGCGCACCTGATCCACCGTCCGGTTGCCGTAGGTCAGCTCCACGTGCGTGATCTGCCGTTCCTGCAGTGGCGCCGTGCAATTCCAGCCCTTAACATCGAACACCAGTCCGCGGGGACAGCAGAAGCTGACGCAGGGCTTCAGCAGACAGACGCAGCCGCGCAGATGCTTTGGGGCACGATACTCCACGCCATCGATCACCTTGAAGTGGTACTCCGCCAGCAGATGTGGTGGAACAACCACTCCCGCGTAGGAGTAGGAGCCATCCTTCAGTCGAAGTCCGTCCGTGATGTTTACGGTATCCGCATAGGCACAGGGATTCGTGACAGAGGGAATGATCTCCGCGGAAAGGGATTGCTGTGCTGCAAGCACCAGCACCAGCATCACCAGTGTGGGGATCAGGGATAAAGACATTGTGCTTGGGCTCGAAGGAGAGATTATTGTTCTGCTGTGCGGATCTGACGTCACAATTAAACAAACAAAACGAAGCGAGTGGCGATCGCTACTCTGTTCTGTTCTGTTCTGTTCTGAGTTTTATGCAAGGCACACCACAATCAACTCACGCACACGCAAAACCAGAGCCAAAATAAAAACAACAAAACATATGAGGAAAATCAACAACAATCGGATTCCAAAATGACAAAACGACGACGAGAGACGCGCGCTGCTCGCCGTGCGACTTTGATGGCGTAGGTCTAAAAACGGCTGCGATTGCGACAATACACGAGCCCCAAAAAGAACAACTAACAACTCTCTCTCACTCACTCTCAGTCTGTGTGTCTCTCTGTCTCTATTTAGTAAACGACAAACCGGCAACCGCAACGACGACGACGAGGAGCGCGACAAGGCAGCAGCTCCATGCTGGCCAAGAATAAAAAACAGACTAACTGATTAGCAAGACCCAAAACCCGTACAGACCAGACCACAAGCAGTCGCTCGATTGTTGGGGGAGCGCAGCACCGCAGTCAGACCAGTCTCGGAGCACCTGTCCCCCAACCCACCTCCCCGCGAGCGAGCGATCAGCGAAACGAATCTCAACCGGGTGCGACGGGCTCTTTTCATTCAAAATTCATTTCATTTTCTTGACGGGTGCTTCTTGGCCAAGACAACAACCCAACAAAACTCAACACTGTTGGTGGCTTGTGGTGGTTGTCTTGTCTACGGTTTTGGAAAGCTTTTGTGTGGGAAAAAGATCGTTGGTACAGAAGGTGAATTTCTTCGTTAGCGCAGGGAAATTTGACTGAAATGTTGCTGTACCAATAAGTAAGCTCGTTCACAATTACATGTCTGTGGAGTGGACATGTAAAAACGTTCGCTTCGTGGTTCCTCGCTGAAGCTGGAGTTGAATAATCGTTTATAATGGTAAAATAAATAAATAAAAAACGCAAGATCAGTGACTAATTTGGTTTTATTTCTCTGCCCAAACCCAAGTGAAAACCCCAGAAACTCGGGCAGATCGTTCAGTTTTATCTTTGGCTTTATTCGTGTGTGTTTAGGTTTTTTATTATACCAAATAGAAGTAGTACTCGTAGACTATATAGATATGGAGCGTGGTATGGTACGTACGTAAATGCGAAAAGACGAATGAATACAAATCTTAATTTCATCACGGCACATCGATATACTTTAGTATGTTTGTATGTATGTGTGACTTACAGCTAAAAGAGGCGGAGAAGTACAGTGATCTCTGGAGACGACAATAATTTCATTTCAAATACATAAATACTAGATATGGCGCTTCGAAGCGGTGCTCTTTCTTACACTTAAAGTTATCAGGTTGTTCGCATTCTTCTGTTGTAATTTTCTTGATCTGCCAGACACATTTATACATATATCTATGTATATATGTATAATGTATATAGAGGGGGAGAGAGAGTGTGGTTTGATGGGGAGGACTTTTGTGTTCCTCTTATATATTAATGTCTTTTCATAAAGATCAGGGTACAATCTGAATATATGGCTGCGGCTGCTGCTGCTCTGGCTGACGTTATCCCCAGATATAACTATTCGATGATGCTTGACACGAGTCCAGCCCCATGGGAGTCTGATTCTCAGCGAAAGCTGGTCGTGCGCTGATGATCCCCACTGGATGATTGGCTAATCATCAGGGGCTTCTCCACCGAGGGCTTCTCCTGCAGCGACAGATTGGCGACGCTGCTCGATGTGGTCTTGGTGGAGTATTGGCTCTGACGCTGAGTGCTGCCATCGCGAACACTCGAGCATCTATGACGTCCATTGGGTGGGCAGCGAGGAGTAAATAATGGTGAAAAAAAGACTGATTAGACGGGTTAATGGAGGTGTGCTAATTGTTAGAGGGCAGATAGCCAGAAGCAGACACATAGACACACACACGAGATTAGAGAATAGATCACAGAATACCATCACCGATTGAATAATGTACGAATAAAGCAAAACGCTTGATTAAACGGTTAGTCAGAGGGGAAGGAGAGAGAGTTCCATTAGTTGTTTGTCTTTGGTTAGTCATTTCCCAAATCCTTTTTAAGGCTCTACGGCTTTACCTTGGAATATATATTTTTATTTTTATTTTTGTATATTTCTACAGGCCAATCTTTGGCCCAGGACTTGGAGTCGCATTTACATTGGCTGCCTTCATGCGCAGCTTTCCTGGCAGTCCATTCGCATCCGAGCTGATGGACGTTGAATTGGTGGATGTCGAGCCATTCGATGGCGTTGGCTTCCGCAGTCTTCGGTGGGTACAGATCGATGGGTGGATGATTGAAGGACGGATTTACATATAGATTATAGGACACACATTATAGATGCAAACAGAGGTTACATTTTTGTTGTTGTTTGTTGGTTGTTAGAGCTACATTTGGCAAGTCTTTTAGTGGATATTTTTGTTCGTTTTTGGTGGCTGATTGCTCATTGCTGCCTCATGTGGCAGTAAAAGTAGCATTGGGTTCATGTTTGGATGGTTCTGTGTTGTTGGGACTGGTGTTAGTCTGATGTTTGAGGCTGTAGCTGTTTTTGTTTCTGTTCTTGTAGCTGTTGAACTTGTGGTTAAGCAATATCGAAAGCGGTCTGGACAGGGGAGATATAAAGATGATTGCATCATTTTAGATTAGAATTCTGCAGCGACTAACTAAACATGTCATTTCCAACTATCTATCTACGAGGTGCATGCATGGAGGGTTGGATTTGGTGCGTGGTTAGTGCACTTTGGCGCCACAACATTCGAGCAGAGAGACGTGACGGAGACGAGACGCTGCTTACTGTCATCGATGGTGCCCACACTATACCGCATGGGAGTGAACACCACTGGCGGTTGAGGTGGCATTTGCGAAGGCATTCCGGATCACGACCAGCCGGCGTATGTGGCTGGAGGCGTCCAGGAATCGCTGCCGCACCGAGAAATTGCTGCCGGCCATTGTTGTGTTGGTCTCTGTTTGTCGCAGACTGCGCACGCGTATCGTTCTGGTGGTGGGTTGGGAGTACGGATAATGAGAGGTAAAAAACGGATGGAGAGAGAGAGACACAAGTGGAACACATACAGAACGGGGCACACGGGTGAGATTACAGAGGGGCTTTAGGCTTTGGTCAAAGGACGATTTCCTAAGTGGAAACAAAATGGAAGACACTGAACAGGAGAGGACAGCCACGGACACTCACCTGTTGGTTATCAAGTGCTTGACCTTCTTCTTCATCACAAACAGCATAAATATGAGGAAGCCCTGCATGGCATTGCACAGATCCGAGATGTAGAAGATCTTCGACCACTTCTTGTCGTTGCCCACAAAGTAAGAGATGATCTCCGAGGACCAGGTGACTCCCATGATGATGAAGAGCCGCAGGAAGAGTCCGAACCTAAGGCGAAGCAGGACACGACGTGCACTTTAGGTGGAGTTGAATGGAAGGAAAAGCCGAATCTTGAAAGGATACTTACTTGTCCTTTTCGGTGCGCAGATTCTTGGTGCTATCCTCGCGGGCAATTATCCGCGCCATCTCCCGCTGCACGCCATGGATCTTGACGGAGGTCATCACAAACATCACCGTGTTGGCCACAATGATGGCCAGAATGGGCGTAAAGAAGTAGATCATGCCCGACCAATTGCGCATGTCCAGCCAGCAGTATTCGCCAGCGCCGATGCCCGGCTTGAGGTGCGACGGCCAGTCGGTGTGCTCCTGCGCGATCCACGTGAAGACCAGGAACATTGAGGCCGCTCCCCAGGAGTACAGCGAGTAGAAGAGGAACCGCTTCTTCTCCTGGAACCGATTGATGCCGCGTGTGCCGCGGAAATTGTGCCACAAATCAAAGCTGATGACATTCAGCCAGAAGAAGGCAGACATGAAGCAGAAGTAGGCCGTGTATCCAATCACCTTGCAGGAGACACCTTCCGGATCGAGGTTCTTCATGAGCAGAATGCAGCACAGCGCCGTGTAGCCACTGGCCAGACCGATGAGGTAGCACACGAGACTCTTTCCATGCTGATTCCTCAGCTCGGGTATCAGCAAATACACGGCAATGGTGAGCATCATAAAGGGCACGGAGAACAGCATGGCTGCAGGAGAAAGGGAAAGGTTTAGTGGGAAACTTTATCAAAGAATCAAAGGATCATCCATACCGTACGCATTGATGATCTTCACGGTGGTCTGCTCCCCGTCTCCATCACAGTTGGCTGGATTGAGACTGTAGTAGAGATCCGTTTGGTTCACATAGGACACCACCAGACAGAACTCGCTCTTGTTGATGTACAGATGATCGTCGAGGCGGAGCATTGAGCCATTCTGGAACAGCAGATACTCGTCGAATTCGTTGATCTCCGGCTGCAGGGAGAACATCTTGGGGCAGGGCCTGAAGCTCTGCACCGCAAACTGCTTGAAGATGTTCACCGGCTGCGTGCTGCTGTTGTCAAAGGTCACATTCATCACGGGCTCTGGCCAGATTCTCGTGTCCGTCGTGTCATTGATGCACTGCGCCTTGTCGCTGTTGTACACCTGACCCCACGGACAGCAGATGTTCAGGCAGGCCTTCAGCCTGCAGATGCAGCCACGCGGGTGCCAGTCCACATCCACGCGCTCCACCAGATCCCTGTAGATGTAGTTGTACTGGCCCACTAAGTGGCTGGGTATCAGCACACCCTCGTACGAGTAGCTGCCGTTCGGGAAGGGCGTGTAGCCCGTGAGGTTCACAGTGTCGAAGAAGGTGCAGGGCACGTGCAGGCCATCGCGAATGTGGTAAATGTTTTGCTCATCGGACATGGCATATACCCCAAAGGACATGCCGGGCAGCAGGCGGAACACAACGAGGCACACGACTCCCATGAGAGTCAGTCCACAGTACAGGGATCCACCCCTTTGGTGGACTTGCTTTGGCATTATGTTGGATCTGCAGGGAAAAGAAAGGAAAGGAAAAGAACTGGTTATTATTTTTGGATGATCCATTTTCATTTCTGCTACAATTTACAGCCCCATTTGATGGGGAAAACACTCTTGGGGTTATGGCTGCCACACTTATATCCCTCAAATGAAGGACACTCAAAGTAAATACCCCATTGCCCGGGATATTTACCTTTTCGCTTAGTTAATGCCACGCTAAATAAGGCCACTAATTTTGGTTAAGGGACTCATCATCCCGACCAATTAGTGAATCATCATCCACAAGGACAACAGGTTAACGGAAAGGAGCAGCAACAGGAACAGGAAGGAGTAGCAGGAGCAACAGCAGGGCGACGTCACATTCAATTAGCACCCAAACGAGTCCAGGGGGAAACACTCTCTCTGGCGCACCGTGTGGCCTCTCGCTCACTGTGGGGCATCAATCATAAGGTCATGCCGCAAACATTTATGGATTCGTGTTAAATTGATACTAACTGCCGTCGTCGTCTCTCAATAGTCTTACTCCCTGCCCCTTCACACACACACACTCTCTCCGTCTCCGTCTCCGTTTCTGTCTCTTTGCATTTATTTTTCCTGCTTTCCATTTTCCCTGGGCATGGGCATTCATTTCAAAGCGCTGCTAATGAGCCTGGCCATAATTTCATTACAAATGCGAAAAGTTATACCTTCTACAGTAAAATGTATTCCCTATCTTATCGGTTGCATCATTAGTGGAGAGTTGGAGTGGCGGCGGGGTCCCCAATTCATTGATCCGCTGATTGTTTGCCATCGATGGGAGCACCAAATGGGACAGGAGGCAGGGGCAGGGGCAGGGTAACCTGTGTGTGGCATTCACGGGCGCGTGGGCCCACAAAATTAGCATGAATTTATGGACGATTGAACGATGGAGCCGAGCAAACACATTAAACTCACTGGTGGGCCAAAGGAGGGAAGGAGGGAAGGAGGAGAAGAAGGAGGGAACACACAGAGCACTTATCTCTCTCTCCTGATGGAAAATGAGCATAATTAATCGCTAAGTACATGCCACTTGAGGGATTTCAACAGAATCCGATTCGAATATTTATTCCAGAAAAGAGAGCGAGGGAGGAGGAGGTTGAATTTATTTGAAAAAGAATCAAACCATGTGGAGCATTCAAGAAACATTGAAAACAATTGGCCATTAAATTGAATTATGGCAAAGCAATTCTCTCCTACAGAATCCCAACCAACACAATTGTATATAAGCAATAATTCTTCTAGATCTTTTTTTCGCTATTGTTTTGTATATTTTAATTCTTTGGTGCAAACAATTTTATGGATGCTACGATTTCGATTTCGATTTTCCCTGCGATTTGCAGTTCGAATATATATCGAATGATGTGCGGAACTATTTAATATTCTGATCGGGGCTTACGTTCCATCATTGATTGATTGATTGTTACGCTGAATCATGGCAGTTAACGTAATCGTAATGGATGTGCTTCTGGGAATGCCAAATGGGAGCATCGATGCCTATCGATGTAGGCAGAGTGTGGGCTGAACCAAATCTAACCATATATCAGTTTAAATGGAAAAGAAAAAATGGGAAAATGGGAAAATGGGAAATTCCGATGGCTCTAGAAATGCCAAATAGAAAATATCTGCACAGAACTTTGTGACTAAGTTGACGGAACATTAACTTTCATTACCCTAGCGTAAGCTAAGTCAATCAGAAAGTCTGATTGATTTCGCAGAGATAATATCGGTGAATGGCCTATAAATAACTCGAATGTTCATCACAGTGACACTCGATCGAGGCATTGAGACATTGAGGGTTCTCTGAATACAAATACGAATAAAATGAATGCCCCTCCATGGGAGTGCGTTTAGCTGTGGTGTGAGTGGAGCTAGCTGTGTGTGAATTTGTTGTGCTCGAGGCGGCGTATAAAAAATGTCTTATTTGTGGTCGGTAACCGATAAGATAAAGCCACTTGGCCAACGCCACTCGCCTGCTAATAATGTCTGACAAAAGAATACGTATTGACGGCTCTTATTTATATTATATACACATTCACGAGCATTATTCTAGGAAAATATATGAACCATTTTGTTGATGGCTTCTGCTTTGAATCTTAGCGAAAATACTTACAAATACTCCGCCAGGGACGTCCTCAGGTTAGTGGTGTCTTTGGATTGGATTATTATCTGGTTGATTATCACTGTTTGGGGATTGTCCATGGTCAGTGGTAGCCAGGGAAAGCAAAAACAACAGAAACAACAGGATGTGAGTAAGAGTATTTTCGCAGTGGCGCCTCTGAATCACTTTCGGCAGCCGTTAAACTTTCGGTGGCAACACAAACAACTGTTTGATAGAACTACTCTTAAGCCCTGCCAAATGCCATTAAAAGCCCATTTCACTCAGCGAAATGTATGCATAAAACGAGAACCAATCCCATTGGAAGATTTATCGAACACTACACACGCATGTGTCGCAAATTATTACAATTCTCTCGGCAGCAAACAGAAACAGCACTGTCAACATATTAATATCCAAACCAAAAGGCCACCGACAGTACTGAGGCCTCTTCCTGGTCCGTCGATCGTCAGGGGTTATGCCCAAAAAAAAAACAACGACGACGATTACGACACGAAATGAATCCAAAAACTCACATAAATATGTTTTCGTTTGATATAAGTTTTTATTCAGAATGAATATCGCTTTTTATTCGGGGTTTTTGTATTATCACGTATGTATGTCGCCTCAGCGGCAATGGTTTTTATTTGTATTTTTATATTTTTTGCTCAAGTCTTATGTGCGACGATTCCCCATTATTATCTTGTTGAGGGCCCGTCGGCGGTAGTGTGCGGTTCGTATCAGAAGTTGGACTAATCGGTGCCCACAGCAATCGTCAATGAAGAGACAGGAGAATTCGCTGAACCCGATGTGGTTGGCCACCACACTTGAGGGCGTAGCATAGACACACCACACCACACTTGAAGGTGAGCTGTGGGCAAAAGCTGTGGGCATAATGTGATGATAACCAACGATTACAAGGAGCCACATTTGTGGTATTCCATTTCCCTTTTTCCAGACAAACATTTTTCTAGAATACTTGCGCTGACCCATTGACGGCTGTGTGTTGATTCTTCTGCCATTTTTCGTGTGAAAATTCCAGCCCCAAGTATTTTTAGACTCCTGTCTGTAAACAAAGGCAGGGGAGCCCACAGCCGCAGAGCCACAAATTGATTGCCAATCTAGAGTGGGCGGGTAGCAAGTTTGCCAAATATTATTCCATGATACTTGCCACACACCATCCAACACTCCGCAACCACTCAACCAGTCAACAGATACCGCCCTGAACTTGCCACAAAAGATAAATGTTCTCTCGCCCATTAGCATTGATGGGGCCCAGGGCGGGAGAAAGCTTTAGAATCAATTCAATGAATGGGGAGATACCCTGTCTGATATCTCACGCACAAAGCGATCAACATTTCCATAAATCAAACCCTATTAGAGATCTGTGAATGGTTTGTATTCATGTTTGCTGTCTGTGCTATTTTTGAATCATAGATAATGGCTTCTCCATAATTCACATCAAATTTACATCAATTTAAACAGCATCAAAGTGCTATTTCTACAAATATCTAAAGGGCACATAAATCTAATCCATTAAAGGGGAAAACTTCCAGAGATCTGCGCTTAATATTTATCTAATTTCAAACATCCATCAATCGATCTTTGCTATCCAACAACAGCCAATTGATCATCACGTGTGGTCCCTAAACTCCTTCTCTGCCTCCAGGGTACACTCATTCGTTAGGGAAACACTCGACAGATGAGTGTTAAGTGTGTTTGTAACATGAGATTCAATGGAACCCTCCTGCCTAACAAACACCGTGGCGACCAAACGAACCGAACCCCAGGAGATTAATATGCTTGCTGGAGTGAGTAATGGCTAGACCTGGGATTCGTGGCTCCAGATGTAGGAGGAAATACAGTTGTAAAAACGCACCGCAAAAGCATTTAACTAATTAATTGGTAATTGCATTTGGCTTATCGTGAAAATGCACAGCGGGTGGTGGTAGAACAGAACCACCCCACTCCCAGAGCAAGCACACAAAACAGACGCCCTTGGAGCAACTCCCATGTGCGTGATAGTGCAACTTTAATCGCAGTTTCACTTTAAACATTTGTATAATATATGAATACATATATACCTATCATATTGCGGGTATTGTGTGTGTGTATATAGAAAGAGAGGAAAAACTGTTGGAAAATTGTAGCGAAATAAACAGACCTCTAAGCAAACAATAAACAATATTCTGAAGATGTTTCAACAGCGATATCCAAGCCCCCCAAGCGCCAAATGTGTGCAAAAGTGTAAACAAAATTCAAATTCAAATTCCCATTGCATGTCGACTCCCAGACGATCGTATTGTGTATGGATGGTATGATATGTTGGGTAGGGGATAGTCAAGGTGAGATGTTCTGTTCTACAAAGGGCATTCGACGCCTACCAAACGATTTCCTTAGTGACTCAATCAGAGTCAGAGAGTGTGTGCATCGATTGCCAAACAGTTGTTTTCAACCCATTTGTCATGCAATTAGGCAGGTTTTTGCAGGCGCGCAATGATTTTGTTATCTCATAAAAAAAGTCTCCTCTCCTGGCAAGTAAATTGCTAAAATCGAATTCCACTCCACATATCATCCCAGCCATCCGACTAGCTTATTATCGAGTGAGTCAGTTGCAGCGGAATAATCTAACGTCAAATTAGCATAAATTCCATCAACAGATCAACACGCATTTAACCAACGATCCACCACTTAATCCATTCAGATATAAATATAAATGGGATCACATTAAATTTTAAATATAAATGTCAATTCATTCCGAGCATTATCCCATAATTTATGGCAGATCTTTGGAAGCATACAAAATTCCTCACAAGGCGGAAATAAATATTTCGTAAATGGAACACAACTATTAAATAGAATTGGGGAATACTTGGAGGTTCATTTCTGGGGAAAGGCAACACGGATCAATGAATAATGATCAACAGATGATACAGGTTCTTATCGTTCAGATTTGTACACTTACCTCGATCTCAAGCTCTCGCAAACGGTGAATAATGTTAATTTATTCAACAGCAGAGTGTTCGTTCCTCGTCGTAGATCAATATAGAACTTTGTTGGGGTTTTGCACATATATTGTAGATATAGCAATAACTGAACAAATAAATGAATCTCTTTTTTTGCAGTTGTTTTTTAAGGTTTGCGTGTGCGAAAAAGTGGATTGACAACACCGGTACCGGCAAAAATAAAACCAATAACGAAACTCGGTTTTGGGTCTTGGAGAATTGGGGATGTTTCGTTCGAATCAGCCGGATTGGGTCGGATGTGTTTTGTAGCAGGTTTTTGTCTTATTTCTTATGTAAATTGTTGTGCGACGGGAAGAGTCTGTGGCCGGCCGGTCCGCTCTCAAGGTGGGTAACCGCATACAAGTTTTTGTACCTGGGACACCAATGGGGTTTCTCAAGAAATCCTCATAATCATAATGTCATAATGTGTACGATCGGCAACCTCACACTCACTCCTTCCTCAAATACAGAAACTTCGACTTCGGAGGGGAAATACCCACTAGAGTGGGTGTAAATATGCGAACACTCAACGATACTGTGACACTGTGAACCGGTTTATAAAGGTATTCACGATGGTTTAAAGCACACACTAGATTACAAATTAATTAACACTGCCATTCGTAATTCCCATATTATGATTGTTTCTCTCGTGTGTTTATAATTATTTTTATTTTATTTTGACTGGAGTTTCCAGCCGCCGCTGCTCACTCACTCACTCCCACAACCGTCAACGTCTCGTAGCGAAATGAACTCGAGGCGGACCGAGCCGCGAACTGCAAAAATAAAAGGTAGGCAAAAGCAGCAGCCAGCCAGCCAGCCAGCCCAGCTGGACGGATAACAGAGCTGCTCCCGCTGTTAGTGGCGTCCCACTGTTGTTCGGCGCTGGCGCTCTGTTAAACTTGCACGCTATAATTGAACTTTAAACAAAACAAAACAAGAAACCGAATTATTTGTGTGATCGAGTGTGCCAGCAACAGTGGCAGTGGATTGTCTGGGGATTGTTCGTTTGTGTGCGAACAGAGCAATTATCGGACATCGCACATGAATGAACTTCTTGAACAGAGTTTGGAGTGTGGAGTGACGGCGGTGTGGCGGAGTGGCCCCGGGGGCCAACACTTTGGTTGTTGTTTCTGGGATGACCCAAAGTGTGATCATAAATGTCCAAACATAGCGAATAATTAGCTGAAGCTGAAGCTTTTTTGGGCAAAGCTCAATGCCTAACGGCTGTTTTATTAGTTCTTCGGTGAAAAGGGAGAGAAAGAAAGAAGCTTCGAGTAGCTTTTGTAGGGTTTATCACAGAAGAGATCTTTATTAAGAATAGGAAGAATCAGTTAAAGAGAGTCAGAGAGAGGGCAGCTCTTGGGAATTCAGACAAAGAGACTAAGAAATAGAACAAGAGAGTTACAGATATAAAGACAAAACCCATTTAAGGAGGTTTTAAAAAAAAATATGGTAAACAAAAGATGCTTCAGAAGCAAACATAGAAAGTGAGAGTAACCTTGGGTAATCTTTTTGACAAGTATTATCACCTAGAAGGCACATCTGCAGCATCTGCGAGACGATAAACTTTGACCCCACTCTGTGGGATCTTCCCTGGGGGTCTGCTTTTTAGGCGTTGATATGCTCCACGCTCATTTTGCTGATAAAAAGCCAACTATGGAAAGCATAGTAGCTTCGACCTTGAACAAACAATAAGCAAAGCTCAAATATAAGTAAACAAAACGAAAATCCGCTTTTGAATTGTGAATCAGTTACGCTTGCCAATGGGATATTTATAGCAATAGAGCCACCGAAAAGGAAGCCCAATCCCAAGTCCCTAATTGGGGAAAGCAAACATTAACACGTAGAGATTTAAAAGCACACACAACTATATAGAAATAAATGTATATGTACAAAGATATGGTCAAAACTAATAAGTACGCTACGTGTTCAGAGTCAGCTATAAAACAAAAGTCAACCCAGTCCAAGTCTGAGTGTTTGAGTGTCTACCCAGGGATGCGAATGGATCGCATGGCTTGCATAATGAGGGATAGACCAGAGCGCCCCTTGGAACCCACCGAGCCATTTAAGCCATTTCTGTGGGGGTTTCTGTTATACATAATATTCCAATTATTAACCGATCGAAAGCGTTTAACGATTGGAGCGTGCTTCGGGTGTGTGGCAGAGGAGGAGGAGCTTCCATGGTATTCCCGTTCGACGGACGAGATCTTGAGAGCTCATCAAGAGACACCAGAAACTGGTTTCCGTTTAGCATTGAGACCACAAGACACAAGTGCCAGATACGACATGTGTACACACACTCGTATATGTGCAAAATATTCAGTACAAAACAATTGGAGATCTTTGTACATAGACGCGAAGAGACAACGCGCGCGACGACTGTCTGTGGGCTGAGCGAGACATTAAAATCGCATTATAATCATCAGTCGAACCGACCAAACAGTCGGGCAGCAGGGCACCCAAGGCTCTTCTGGGGCTCGTAGATTTTGTGGCTTTTTAAGGGGCGGATACCACGAAGAAGACCTTGAACAAGTGCAAATATGTGCGACGGGGAAGGGGCTCGTATAATAAACATTCCACAGCAATATCTTAAATGGCTTCAGGATTCCGCTTAATGAATAAACACAAAGTTCAGGCTCTAGCACATAGAACCTCTCCCTCGCTTCCTCTTTGGGTCACAGTAAATTTGTTGAGATAATTAATACACACCACACATAGATACGCGCTTACAAGACTCCGCGTTAAACGGCAGATAAACGAGCAATGTATTTTTTTAGCAGAGACATTAAACCCCCGCAAATGAGCGTCCGTCCGTACAGCAGATAGCAAGAGCTCTGACATTAGAGAACATTTCCACTAAAAGGTTGGTTATTGCATTATTTTGTTGAGATAGCAGCTTAAGTTGTGTTTAAATTCAAAAACTAGCGCTCTCTACCGATCCGTTAACATATATATGTTAATGGAATCGTTAAATTCAATGAACCAACCAATGTTAAATTCATGAACGTTTATCGGCGGATACCCTGTTAAGTGAAGTAAAATAATGTTAGGCGTTAAACGAAACGAATGCTGGGTGCTTTCTGTGTTTTTCTGGCTTCTTGCGATTTCGATTTACAGCGGCAACATTTATGTAGAAAATCTCAAAGTACAGTTGAAAGCTTACGGGTAACAGTTGAGTGTAAGGGGCAGTCTGCATAGAGTTTACATACATTTTACATAGATTCTAGGAGCTTTTTTTGGGTCGACTTCATGTAAACGCCAACAGATGGTGCTGCCATCAATTTGAGGGATTACCTCATCTCAGACTTTTAAAACTCTAAAGATTATAATATTTGTTATTAATATTAAAACAGTGCATGTATTTTTTAGATTATAATAATTTTTAGAGTAAATTCTTCATCTTCCATACACTTTCGATTTTGTTCCGGAATTGGTAGTGCATTTAAGGTTCCCATTAAGCATTCCCATTCTCAAAAGGAATACCCCTTTAAAGAGAGAAACAACTTGACCCATTGATTGAAGCACGGTTCAATGGTTGATTATATACATTTCTGGCTTCCATTACAGCTATTCAAATTTATAATTCCAACAAGAGTGGAGAAAATACACTTTATAAGACTGATACAACCTGTAAGAAAAAACACCGACATGTACCTGCTCAGGACTATGTGATACCCAGTTACTGGATAATAAGATGTAAGGTAAAACCCTGGTGATGGAAAGATAGATATACCTTGCCATACCTCAAGGAAGTAAGTACCAAATAATAGTAATCATGTGGCAGTGTGGTAATGTGTGAGGACATCCCATAATCAAATTAATGTTCCAAGTGGGGCTAAGTGATTCCCCGCTTGACGTCCCTGCATGTAAGTGGTTTATTTTGATAGCCATTTAATGGGCCCCGCCATACATCTGACGAAGCACTGCCACAATCGAATAGGACTTGCTCAGGATATTGGCGAAGCTCGTCAGGGTGAGGCCCATGAAGCCGCCGGCGGTGAAGAGGAGCGGTCGATCCGCATTGATCATGAAGATGAGCAACGTCCGCTTCAACTCAGCATCTAATTCATGCCAATTGCAGCCAAAGGCTGTGGTTGTTAGGGTTTTGCTCTGCAGAAATAAGGAGAATTAAGCAACCTGCAGCTATAGAAATCTTTACCGTGGGGACCTGCTCAAAGACCTCGTTGCCGAACCAGCAGTAGAGGAATATTTGACAGAAGACGCCGCTGAAGAGAAAGTAGATGAGCACGGAGCTGCCGGAACCATCGCCCACAAGCGCCTGGAAAACGGTCATGGCAAAGACCAGCAGCGACGACACAAGCTGAAACATGACGGGAAGGCGGTACATCTGCTCCAGTTGCTGACGCAAGCTGAAAGTGAATAAAGGGAACCATGAACTTGCAGCAGACAAAGATGTATGGACATTTGGCTAATGGATGCCATTACTTGATTACGACGCAGTGATACTTGACAATGGACACCATCCAGCTGTTGGGATCCTCTTGGAGCTGCAGGTCATCGAAGGCCAAGTTGAGGATCTTGAGGTGCATGCATATCTGATTCATGAACACCACGTTGACGTTGTCGATGGTCGGAATGCCGCACGATAGCCAGATGATGCTCAGCCCCATGTACAAATGTTGAACGTTGGGAGGCAGAAAGTGGGGCATATGGACGCGATATGGAAAGCGCTTTCCGGCCATATCATCCGGCACTGCATAGGGTTAGGTTATAAAGTGATTAGGAATGGACTGGAATCTCTTACCAATCAGCATCATGACCATAGCAAGCGTGGAGGAGAATACCACCAGGCAGAAGTAAAAGAGACACACAAACTTGTTCTCCACTTCCAGCCGATGGAAGATCTCCTTTTGCTGGGGAGACAAAATGCAGGTTCTAGTGAGGTGTTTCAGTGTGGCAACTACCTGCCGGATGTCCTCGTAGTAGTAGAATGTGTTGAGCACCTATCGGACATCTAATGGATGGGGATTACTGTTGCAGCAGCAGGCTGCAGCAATTGCTTACCTTGAACCAGTAGCCCAAATGGGTCAATGTCATTACAACATTCTGTGTCATGATATCCACATCGTCCCAATTGAGCACCAGATCATAGATCTCCAAGAGCACATAGCAGAAGAGTAACGGCAGCACCACTCCACTGACGACGAGAATGCGGATTCTCTGTGCCCTCGACTCCGGCTTCAGTCCAGAGAGGGGGAGTCCCGCCGACTGGGCGAGCCACACATTCAGCTCGATGGATCCAATGCGGCCCTCATCCACATCCGACGGTCTGATCCGCTGAGTAAGTTCGCGTAGCCTTTCCATTTCGCAATGGGTTTGTCTTCCGCCTGGGAGAATCCTTTTATACATACTTATGTAGGTCGACGCGGTCACTGTCAGGCATTGCGTGAAGAAGGCGTGACATTCCAGCACCATCTAATTAGAGGGGGAATAAACTTCCTGGTGGGATGGGGAAAGTAAAGTAAGTGCCAAGTAAATGCCATCCTGCCAAGTAGTATAAAATCGCTTTTAATCGGAGCTTTTAGCACCCTGACTTTTTCGTGTAAATGTTGGAAAAATAAAATTATTCCACTAGAAGATCACACAGAAATAAATCTTATGCAAACAGTCATATTAGTATTAGTTGGTAACTAATATATATTAAGTCTTAAGTAGATCAGCACCTAGAGCACCTTTGGGTGCTATCTAAATCTGGGTAGAGGCCTGCGAGCTTAAGGTATCCCTCGGCAGTTTCTTAGCTGCAGTCGTATTGCGACTCCCATGAGATTTCATGCTTACGACACTTCTTATGTTCCTTGACTGATATCTAGGAGAGAGAACAAACGTTAGAGAAATCGGACAGTTTTCAAAGTGCGAAAACATTGCAACAAGACAAGAAAAACCATGCTTAAAAGCGAGACAGAGAAAAGTTAGCAAATGGATTAGCAGAGCTCAGACCTGTAAGTTACTAAAGCTACAGCTAGAAAGGGGGAACCTTAACCATGCTTAGAGATCTAAACAATAAGTTTTAGTAGTTAAACCAACACCAAACAAATTGAGAGGATAATCAGTCGCTTTACCTATAGCCGTTGCGTCTCTTCGAGTGAGACCTCTTCCTCGGAACAATCGTCATTACTTAACAGAGATATTTTCATGATGAAACCCGATTATTTTCCCCAGCTGAACACAGAATGAGCAAAAATCGCTTACCCTTTCTTGAACAACTTCAAAACACTGAGCTTCGTCACGAACAGGCAGAAGATGATTATGCCCAGCGACCAGTTAAAGTAATCGGCGACCCGAAGGACTCTCTTCCAAAACTCGTGGTTCTGCACCAAGTAGGAGACTATCTCCAGGCTCCAATTCACGCCCATGATTATGAAGAGTCGCAGAAATAGGCCATAGCTGTGAGTGGACAGAGAGGATACTTGATGATGCCTGTAACCATCGCTTGCAAGCAATATTCTTACGTCTGCTTGTCAGAGTTATGTTTCTGCTTTCTCTCCTGGCGATCGACAACGACCTGCAGTTGGCGTTTCACTGCAATAATTTCAATGGCTGTGAGAATGAACATTGTCGAATTGAAAATGATCACAATTAACATAGGCCCATAGAGGTATAGCATGGCCGACCAGTCATGAGTCTTGATCCAACAGCTGTAGTAAGTTACGCCAGGCATCCAGGGCTCATTCTCAGGATTATCCTCCACTAGATGGTCCACCAAGTAAATGACGGCCGTAAAGATGAATGCCATTCCCCAGGCATAGATGCTGTACAAAAGGAACAAGTACTTCGACTGATAGGAAGCTCCCTGACTGCTGCCTAACGAGGAACGTAGATCCCAACTGATGACAGACAGCCACAGAAAGGTGGACATCACGAAGTAGTAGCCGGTGTATCCTATCGTAGAGAGAGAGTGAGAGAGAGTTACGTTTTGATCTAATATCCGATCGGGCAGTATACCTGCTGTAGCGCAAAAGTTATTCGTCAGCTCCCACAAGTCCAGCAGCAGGAAAAGGTAACCCATAAAGAGGCAGATAAGACAGCAAACGAAACAATTTCCATGGAGATTCCGAAGCTTTTTCAGACAGCGATAGACGATGATCGTTGAGGAGAGGCACACGAGGCTACAAATTAACACTGAGGATGGCAAAACAAATATTTTCAGTTAAAGATCGGAGCGGATCGTTACAGTGCTCTCGCTCACCAAAGGTTTGGCCCGTCTTGTCACCCGACTTGATCGCGCAATTGTGGGCAACTATCCGTAGGGACGCCGTCTCGCCCTCTTTAAAGTGTTCCGGTTGGAGGCAGTAGTCCCGCTTGCTCATCGTGACATTGTCGTAGGATCGGAGCAAGGACCCATTCTAAGGAAGATCACTGGCATTAGGCTTCGCGGGAAATGGGGGTCGCGGTATGGTGGGGTCCAAACCTCAAACACTGTGTACTGATCCGTCTCCTCTCGATCGTTGAGCGAGTACATTTCATTGCAGGGCTTCGGGAGATCGCTCTGAAGGATAAACTCCTTCTGGAAGTGTCCCCTGAACACCGTTCCATTTTGCAGTGTCACGTTCACGTATGGATTAAGTCGGGTCAGATCGACGCTGCCACTGCACTGCCCATTGCCCATCAATTGAGAGTGGTGGCAGCAGAAACGGAGACACGTCCTTAGCTTGCAAACGCAACCACGCAGATGGGTCTCCGCCGGCTCCCTGGTGCCGTCCGGCAGTACAGTGTAGGTATATTCAGCCATAAGCTCACTCGGAATGAGCAGATCCTGGTACAGACAAGAACCATTGACCAGCCGCTGGCTCCCCGTCACGTTAACCGTGTCGAAGAAGTCGCAGGGCATGGTCTCGATCTCTGTTCCAGAAAATATCGCTGCATCCAGCAGAATAAGACCAGCAATGTAGAATAACTTTAGCATTTTAATTCAGAGAATCTGCAAGTGAGAAGATCAATATTTTATTTTATCAAAGAGTGCACAAAGTAAGATAGTAACACGAATACTTGGACAACTTAATGACCTATATCACGGAGACAGTAGACAGTCAAAATGTGTATACATCATTTTGGGGCATCTTCTGTGGGAAAATACATATGTATGCATTTCATACCGCCCACTGAATTCTGTGCGTGTTTGTATCTTGTTTTTATACAATATTCTCTGGAATATTAACATTTGAACCGACTGTACTTCAACGGGGACTCCTTCTCGACACACTCAAGAATAAACTGCAAGCCGTTGCATGTGCTTTTCCATTTATATATCTTATATATCTTGTATACATCATATATGTACATACTGCATGCGATAAATGTATATACATTTCTGGGACATGTGGCATTTTATCAGAAATTTTGTTGTTTCAATTATACATTTATTGGTTCACATTGCAACCCAAAAGGGGTTGCAACAGACAGAGAGATCAGCATCCCGCGTCCTGTGCTATAATGTTGGAATTTACTCAACATGAATATTCAAGAGCACAGCGAGAGGTTGTACTTTATGCCCTTCCCAAAGGTCCACTTAAAATCCCTCAGTGTCCCGATAGCCTTGCTCCCAATGTGATTCACATTGCATTGATGATTGGTTTATTGGTCAAAGAGCATGTCAACAATGCCGATAAGGAAATCCAAAGAACTCTACGATGAATAATAAAGCTATTATCGCTATACAGGAATTGTCGCTGGATAGGGAAGGGGAGTCTTCAGTAACATTTTTGCTTGTTTGATAATCAAAAATTTGTTTCCAGTGTATACCGTTCATTTGGCGACTTTCACTACGTTCTTAAAAAACATTCAAGCATTTTTTCAAGTTACAAGCGTATTTCAAAAATGAGCCCCGCCCTTACAAAGGCCGAAAATCTCCCACAACCACAATGAAGATAAGAGAAAACTAAAAACACCATTATATAGGGAAGGGGGCGAGCTAAAAGAGCGGGTTGGCGTGAGAAGGGATGTAGATAGATGTAGATGACAGATGAAGAAAAGATTTAAAATTTAAATAAAACCGCTAAGATTGAGGTACTGAGTACCGGGTATAAAAGTTGTGCCTTCTCGTTTTTTGATGAGTTCGTTTGCCTCAGCTTGTGTTTCTGTTTGTGCATTGTATGCGCATGCTTTGTCAATTTGTACAATGAGTTAAATGAGTTCTCGAGCAAAAAATAACCGAAAGAAGTACACTGAAAACTTTTGGAGAAGTACAAGCAAATTAATACAAAAAATACAAAAATAAATTATTAATACCAATAGCAACAACATATCTTCACTAACGATTAGTTTCTATAATTATTTAAACCTTTTTTTTAATTAACATTTTTTAGCTCCTATTTTAACATTTTTTATGTGTTGTATCAAAATGCAATATTCTTGTTATTATTTATTTTATATTGTTTTCATGCAATCATTACAATCCTTTTTTGGGATAAGAACCGAATTTGAACGAAACGCAGAGCCATCGTAATTTTCAAAAATACATTGTCCCGAAATGGTATACAGAAAGCGGAGTTCCAATTATATATGTGTATACTATACGAGCACGTACAGACATTCATAAGTACATATGTGTAAAGCGGCATTAATTTCCTGGTCCAAGCTCCCAATGCATCGCGTGGGTCACGTTCGCGTCAGAAATGAAGACTGAAGCACGATAACGCGCCCTTCACAGATCGCATTTCATTTAAAGCTGGATTTCAAACTTGTTTCGCGTCCTACGGTGGTCCTTACATCGGCGGTTGGGGGGGAGACGAGGCGGCAAAAAGGCAGGGCTGTAAGATGCCACGAAAGATCGTTCAAATTCAGTACTTTACCTGACGGACTATTCGATATTTACAATAGTAGGACTCATTTTTGCGCTGCTCGTGCTCGCCATCGGGTGCCGGTACTATACGTATATATGGTGTTTATAAGCCGGTTTCACTGTATTTTCTCTAAATGTATTTGACTGTATTTAGCTGTATGCAGATACAACAAAATTCACCACTGCATGAAAATGTTTAAAAGAAAAAGAGAAACTTAAGTATGGCGCGTTACAAACTTGTATCGTTTTACAAATAACATCATTATATTTACGGTATATTTTTAAAATACTAGGGTATATTTCCGAGGGTCTGTCATTATATCTTATCGATATTTACGAGGTCAGGTATATTTAATAATATAGTATGTATATAAATACAAATGTCCCACAAGCAGTTTCTCTCTTTTCCGCTAGCCACTCTTATGGAGAATTGATTGATAAATCGTATAAAACTATTGTTTTAGCTCGGAGATTTCTAACTAGCTAGTAATATCAAATAGATCATCAAAATCGAGGAATCTGATTTAAGACTACGGTATATTTTACGGTATATTTAAAAAATGCAAGGGTATATTTCCGAGGGTCTGTCGGTATGTTTTATCGATAATCCCACGGTCACACTGGTTGAGTTCGTTTCGGTTTGGTTTTTCGTTTTTATCCGTTTTGTGCAAGAAAAAGTAAAACAAATACAATAATATTAAATATAATATTGATATATAATATTTTGATTTGTGAGTATATGCAGTGAGTTGTTTAGTTTTTTTGTTTAGTTTCTACGAGCGGCGTGTATGTGAGAGTGCGTTGGTGTTCTATGTTGTGACCCCCGTCCCCTTCGCTGTTCGGTTGTGTGTAAAACATATTCAACCTTTTGTTAAAAGGAAATAAACACATGCATATACTTGCATACTGTCCATGTGTATAAATATATTCTTGTTGGTGAGAAGTCAAATGCAGCAAAAACGCAGTCGGGAGACCCATAACGAGGAAAAGAGTGCCAGAGAGTGTGAGAGGGGGGCAAGCGAGAGACATCTTGTTGTTGTCGCTGCCTGTGCTGCTGCCTTATCTTTCAGCCGCAGGCGGCAGGCAGCACAGCAGCATCAACGTCCCTGCCCTTGTCGCCCCTTTCTGATAATTATTATTATAATTCCCTCTTCCTTTTGCACTCGCAAACGCATGCACGACACACACACGCACACGCACACCATTGCAGGCCCGCATATGGCATATGCCGCCTACTCAGAGCAGCATCTTCCTGACTCGTGCGTGCGAGCGAGATAAAACACAAGGTGCATTAAAGAGGAGGTAAGGTTGTGGGAGCTTGACTTCTACACGGCAGTTAAACCAGCTCAATTTGTGCGATAGAAGGTATGAATAATTTCTGTGCTACCCAGATAAGTACCTACCTGCCCTACCTTCTCGCTAATCTGCCTTCCACCAACACGCACGCACACATGGAGAAGAGCCGCAGCATAAGCCTCGGAACGCAGTGCAATGAAGGAAGCGACAAAAGGCCGCTGATCCGAGTGAGATGCCTGCCATGTGATGTGATGTGATGTGTTCTCCCAGTTTCTTGTGTTGTGTCTTGTGCAATTAATCATTTATTGTGTGTTTACACATTCTTCAATTAGTGGCAACCTCTAAGCCGCTCCCCCATCTCTGTAAGCGCAATCGAAAGAGGAAAGGCGAAGAATTAGAATAGCGTAAAGTGGTAGAAAGGGCACAATCAGCTGAGAGTATACACCGCGAGAAATTACTGTGTATGGTGTAAGAAAAGTGATTAAAAAAAGGAAATGCAGATGTCAGCAATGGAAGAAATTAGTGTGAATTGTGTGTAAAAAGTGATTACGTTTATGTACAATTTGTGCCATCGTCGCCCGGGCTGGGGCTGGGTCTGGGTCCGTGCCTGTGCCTGTGCCTGGGACTGCAGACTGGGGGCTGTGTGTGCGTTTATATGTGTGTGCGTTTGTGTGTGTGTTGCATGTGAAATATGGACACGAAAATAGCATAAGAAGAATGTTGAATGTTGAACAAACACACACGGGGTTGCGCTGCGCACTTTCGATGGCAGCGACGGCCGGGGGCAGAAGCAATAAAAATTAAAAGGCAAACAACGATAAGCGGCCCCTCGGACTAAGCCCAACATGACCCACACCCTTTTCCCACCAACCTAATATATGGACGATGTGCACACATGGCAACCCTGACGCATAGCGGTAAAAGAAACAAAAAAAAAACCAAACAAATGCATATATAGACGATAATTAATGCCATTCCAATGTAATTGATGCGTCCCTGGCACGAGAGAAAATCAATCGAAAGAGCCCCTGTAATCCCCCCCGGTAGCTATCTATCGCCCGTAAGGGGGAGAAGCCCTAATGAAATTGTTCAATTTTAAAAGTAATTTCAGAGAGGGTTGCGCGCCACTGCTCCATTTGCTCCTTCCCTCCGCCACTCCTGGCCCACAGGACCACCTGGTCTGGCAGGGAATTCAATTTTTCTCTAATTTGACTTTGATGGGGGTTGCCAGGCGCGTTGAAAGCTCCTCCTGCATCCATCTCTCTCTCCGATTAGACCAAAGATTGTAATTGAAATTGAGTGACATCTGCTGGTTGTCCTCTGGTACCCATGTCCGCCACCACTCCACTCCCCGCTTTTCTGTGTTGTTGGTTTTTCTTGTGGCTTTGCAGTTTCTCATATTTCGTTTCCTTAGAAGTTCAACGTCGTCTGTCTGCGGTTTTCATTACCTCACCATGGATGGATGGGGGAGATAGGCTTTGTGCCCATTGCCCTTGTCAACCAACGAGAAGAGAAGAGGAGAGTTTTGTTGTGCTTTGGAGGGGATTGAGTAACCATGAGAGATAAGCACTCGAAGGCGAAGCTTCAATCTCAAGTCGAATCTCAAGTACCGCTGCAAAAGTGCTGCCTTGGCTAGATCTCTTGACTGGTTTGGCCCGCGATAGCTCTCTGTTGTGACGAACAAAGAAAGAGAGAAGCGGAAGCTGCCCTCAATGCGAGCAATCCCAGTAGGCCAGAGGGACAGCGACAGCGGAAGAGGAAAAGAAAGAGCAAAGAGCAAGCGAAATCAACATAAAATACATACAAACACACACTCGCAAACAAAAGCCCTCGTACGTGTGCAAATATTGGCATGAATGATAATTTCAAGCCGAAACTCGGTCAACGAACCGAAAGAGAAGAGTTTCCCCGCCCCCCATTGAGACAGTGCATCCATATGCCCCCCATTCGCCGCAGCTCCCACAGCTCTTGGTGTAGTCCATTTCGATTTCAGTTTCATAATGAAACCAAAAACGTAATTGAGAAGCGAGTGCTGGACAGACTGACTGACTGACTGACGCTTCCCCTCCTCCCATTTGGACAACCTGCATTGGCCATAAATAGAGAGGCTACAGACCCGACCGACCACAATGGTTGATCGCCACAGCCGGACCGGGCCTGGCCTGGCCTATGGCTTCCGCACAAATATGGCACCCAGCAGCGTGGTGAGGGGCGGCAGTTGTTGTACGAATATGAATACGAGTACGAGGGACGTTCCCGCGGGTCTGTCTGCCTCCCGAGGGCGTCACAGAATGACGCAACCTTTCATTTGTTTATTATAATAATCATATTTGTTGTACTTTTGCCAACCTGTTGACAGGCAAAAGAACTTATATTATCGACCCCAAGGGCCCCTCCCATTCGATGCCCCTTTCTCCATAATGTCATGGGTACTATGTGTGCCTTACAAATTTGCATGGCGGCATGTTTGCGCTAATGATTGCTACTGATAACGATTCGGGGGAGCGGAGATAATGGATCGAGAGAGAGAGAGAAGTAGAGGTACCCTTGTGCTCGGATCTTAAGCCCCATTTATTTATTACCCATTTGTGATTCAGTTTGTGGTTCAGTGCTTTGTTGTTCCACGATATAAATTATACCCATGTCAATGATAAAGCCCACACTTTTCCACTAGTTCTAGTTACGCCTCTGCCCATAGTTCCCCCAGTTCCCATACATATCCATGCCATCTAGTATTGACTCGAACACAGCCCCGGAAGCAGTTTGTTTTTATAGAACAGACTACAAAAATATCGTATCTATTGTTGGGAAGAATCCATCACGCCAAGAAATTTTTATTTTAATTCTCAAGAACAAAGGATCGTAAATGTGTACAGTGAAGACTCCCACTGAGCGGACACTTGCTAGAACGATTCGTAAACGCATTTCCTTTCCGTGTGGGTGGAGGCTTTCTGTTCCTAGCGAACTGACTCAAGGGAACTTAGTCAGTAGTTAACCACTAGGCGATAATTACCTGGCAACAACCCACAAACGAGAAGAGGGGGAACAAAGCTCTGTTTCCGATTTATTTTTTCCATCATTTATCATTCGCGTTGGAGTGTCCGCCCCAGAGAGAAGCACAACAAAAGCAGCAGCAGCAGCAGCAGCAGCGTGCATATAACCTAGTTAATACACAAAAAACAGAACAGAAGAAGGTTAAAAGGTAAAAAGACGAAGACAAACAATACCATAGCTATGGCTAAACGTGTATCTGTGGGTATTTTTGTAGCATTTAAGCCAATTACATGCCACATCAATCATTTGCAAAGACGATTTTCAGCCAAAGAGAGCTGAGTGCTTGGTGGGAGCTTCTCCGACTAGCCAACAATGAATGGAGTAAGGTGTGTGTGTGAGTTTGTTTACTAGTATCTGTATCTAAAAGTGGGTGTTGTGGTGGTGCCTTATCTACGAGTTTGACAACAGTTATTCTTGGCCTGCTTACGGGCCTCGAGTAAAAGCTGGAAATGGAAAGGCGCACTACTCTGGTCGTAGGTAGCCGAGCAGGGAAGCGGAGTGCTGGGCTTCAAGAAACAATGAAGAATTAGTCACCCAGCCACTTGTCGCAAGTGTGAAGTGACGACTTCTGTTCTACGTGGAAATATGCCACAGAGAGGAGAGTAACATAGAGATGAA